CTAGAATCTATCAAAACTGAAGCAATGGACGTGAAGAGCTCAAAGCCACAATAACATGCGCACCAATGTTCACAGCAGCACTACTCCCAATAGCAAGAGAATGGAGGCAGCCTAAGTGCCCATCAGCTGAAGAGTGGATAAACAAACTGTGGTACACACACACAATGGAGCATCATGCTGCCTTGAAGAATAACAAGGAAGCGGCAAGCCACCGCATAACATGGATGAACCTTGAGGACATTATGCTGAGTGACATCAGTCAGTCACAAAAAGAGAAATACTGCATAGGACCATTACTGTAAAAGACTAAGAAAAAGAACCCACACTAAAGGGGGCGGGATTTTGTTGGTTACCGGGTGTATGGGGTGGGGTGAGGGGAGGGAGGGGAAGGTGGAGCACAAGGTAGGGAATAAACACAGGATAGTTTGGGTGCTGGGGGGGGATGAATACACTAGACGGGGAAGGGGAAAGGAAGAGCAAGGTTGATGGGAGAACAGTTAGGTAGGTTTTGTTGTTGTTGTTGTTAAGTGCCATCGAGTCGATTCCGACCCATAGCGACCCTGTACAGGGTTTCCAAGGCTATAAATCTTGACGGGAGTAGAAAGCCTCATCTTTGTCCCTGGGCTAAATAGGACAGAGGTAAGTAACGATGTAAGCACAACCGTGGAACAACAGGGCTCAGGGATACAAGGATTGAGGCATGGTTTGAATGGGTAAAAAAGTGGGGAAACGATTCAAAAGATGCTTGGCTGTCTTCTGAATCTTGGTTTCCCTTGCCTGTTATTGTAAAATGACTCTTGAAGGAGAGAGAAAGGAATAGCCAGAAACATCATCATAGAAAGCTTGTAAGTCTGTCTTCAGCCTATAACTGATTGGAATACCTAAAATGGGACTAGAACTTGCCCAGTGAAAGAGGCTTCCTGTGGAGCCTTTGCATTACATAAGACCATAGGTGGAATTCTGATCCCCATCCAGAATCTTCTGAGGTGGGAAATTTTCACTTGAAAGCACACGCAGACCAGCTTGGAGCAGCTAGAAGAACAGAGATACTTATACTTCTTGAAAGAAAGACCAGCAGGAAAAATACAAAACCAGTATCAGCAGTCCGATTGACTACTATAAAAACAAGCAAGTTATTCCCCAGGGAGCCATCAAGGCAAGTGGTCAGGTCCCCTCAAGGCAACCCCCTTCCAAGACTGAGACTCAGGTGGAATGCACGAGCAGGCAGGTGGTCCTGCTGCTGACCATGTTGGTCACCGATACGGGGAAGTGGGGGAAAAACAGCAATGAAGTTGTGAGCTAAGTCCAACCACATTCAGTAGACTCCTGTTAACCTGGATTGAGACATTGTTGGCCAGCAGTATGATGAGACCTAGGGACTCCTGGGGACAGGAACAGGGACATGGTCCCAGAGGACTAGAGTGGAGTGTGGAGCGTCCAGCTGATATGAAGTGACGGAGATGCACAAGAACACCCACACTTGCAGATAGTACCCATGTGACCTGGCATCAATGGCTGGATGATCAGAACACGACTAGAGGAAGAAAGAGGAAAAAGTTATCCACTACAAATAGATGAACTTGACCTATGTGTGTGGCTGCAGAATGGCAAAGGAGCGGACAAATCTTTACAGTGAGGATCATTACCATCCCCTTGGTATACAGGGTCGACAAGGATGGGCAACGTAGACATTGGCTACCCAAAATGGGGGTGGGGGGGCTACAAAGGCAAGAAGTGACTGGCTTACATGCTTTCAAAAGGGAACCTAGTTCCACAAGGTACTGGGAAAGGTAGACTCTCCACTGAGTTGTTTCCAGCCTGTCTGGATGGGGCTGATAAAAGATGATGGGGATAAGACTCCCGTGGTTCAGTAAGGAATGATTGCTCTCAGGTCTGACAGTGAGTGTTGGAAAGGTAAAGGTAAACATTTTGTAACAGAAGGAAGGGAGTGGTGGATTTTGCAGTTCAGGAACGGAGGGTCCTGGAACCATCAAAAGAGAAAAGCGAAGTGTGGGACCCTGTTCGGGGAAACAGTGACACCAGGGATGGAGGCAGAGATGATGACATGGACAGAAGGAAAGGCTGGGGACTCTGGACTCAGGGAGGGAGAGAGGCTGTGCGCTGGCGGCCATGGGGCAGGCGTGCGGGGTGTACTCTTTGGTTGTTTGATTATGCATGCAGGGGATTGTAATCATTGCAATGAAACAAAACACGATAGGAAAAATGTAAAGGTAATGTTCTCCCATGTAAACTAACACGTAATTCACAATAAAAACTTTAAAAAAAACACGATAGCAAGTTAACTCAATAAATGGATTTAAAAACAAATTGTTGTTGTTGTTAAGTGCCATCAAGTTGGTTCCGATTCATAGCAACCCTGTATAGGATTTCCAAGGAGCAGCTGGTGAGCTTGAACCACTGACCTTGCAGTTCAGTGAATTAATCCACAGTGTCACACACTGGGACTCCAAAACCAGATTAAACATTGCTAAGAAGTGGTGTTGTTAAGTGCCGTCGA